CTTCGGATTCAGCTGCCTCATGCTCAGAACAGATTATTTGAATTGATTTAGATTCATGTAATTTATAAATGTTCACATTGATTGTTCTTTTCTTCAGATGAATAATCCATGCAGAATAGGTTGTTCACTCCCTTTGTGAAGTTAGGTTTCGGAAGAAGGGTTTATTCTTGGTATCCAGCCCAGGTTGACATATCTTATTTGCTCCCTTTAATATTTTGTTTATAACTTTGGCATGCTGCAGTTATTATTTTTATTAAGTTATTGATTTTTGTAGATCTTAATTTTACTGATACTAATATTGTACGAATGTGAACAATATGATTATATATATATATATATTTTTTTTTTTTATCAACTCCATATTTTAAATATTTTAGATTTATATTTGATGACTAAAATGATTGATTTTTGCTTGTAAAATAAATGAGCTTTCAAGTACAATGCTTTTTCTTCACTGATGTAGGGATCTTACTAATGTGCACTTCAATCATAAATGCAGTTGAATTACTAATAAGGCTGTTATTACCACAAATATGACTTGCAACATCACTTGTAAATAGCAGTTAATATAGCCAGCATGAGGTTAGTAACATAACATTTGAAAGATCTGTTCTGACTCATAGCTTGCTTTCAGGTGAAGCAGATGTAGAGAGCCTTGCCAGCACAGATATTTCCGTGCTGGATGAGGAGAAGGAGAAAATTGCTGATGAAGAAACAGACCTCTCTCTGGCCTCCTCGCCTTCACTCCCAGATGATCTTCCAGCAATAAAGTAAAGATATATATTCATATATTTTTTCTTTGTGTATGTGTCTCAGTCTTGTCTGTCTGACTGACTGACTGACTGACTGTGTGTCTGTGTCTGTGTGTCTATTGGTGTTTGCCTATGTCTTGGTTTGTAAGTGTATGTGTATAAGATGATAAGACTCTTATTTCTCTATTTTTCTTTAGGTGTGCAACACTTAGTCTACCTAAGGTTTGAATGTGATTGTCAGAACAGTATGATATATTAGATATTTCTGGACCATAAATTTCTAGCTGGCATTCTTGATGCATTGTTTCTATTGAAAACTCAAATAAGCAATACAAGCCTTATTGCAATTTTATTGAAAGCAAGGATTAAAGGAGATTTGGTATACTCCAGAAAAGCATACTATTTTAAAAATTTGCTCTTCTCTCCCACAGACCTGACACCCAGTACCGCCATACCCCAGACAGAGACCTCAACTCTCGGCTGAACATCGTGGTTGCACTCACACTGGCCTGTGTACTTGGGCTTGGCTTAGGACATTTCCTTGGTGAGAATTCTAGGATTTATTATGTACTGCCAAGGGTAGAGATAACGCCTGTTGATTATGCATCCATTAGAAACATGGGTTCTTATCATGAACAAAAGGTATAATGCTGATATGATGTCCATTACATCACAATGCTTTGTATTTAGTCATTATAACAGGGTTTGTGATTTTGACACTTAAACATAAGACAGTATTATATTGGAGTGGAGGCTACACAGACATTACTTTAAGTGACATTTTCAAAAAATTCCAGAAAACTTACTTGGCTTTACATACATTTTTGTATATCATTTTATGGGTGTCATTTTAACATGGAGTATGTTTATTTGATTGTTCATGTCAACACATGAAATCACAAAATCTGTTCTTTATTGTTGAAATTGTTTCTTTCTTTCTTTCTTATTTTAATCTGATGGCCTACATGCCATGCCCACTGTGAGTTCAATATAGTAATTGTTTTTACACAAAGATGGCTTCACAAGTACTTAGTCACCAATGAGCCAATTATTAGTAGAACCTATCTCACGTGTTACCCATTTCTTTGATTTTTATGAAATATTTGATTTTATTTTATATTTCTATTAGTAATGTTGTAATGTGTATACTGATAATAACAACATTGATAATGATAGCATTATTGAAAATGATTCTTCCTAAGAACTCAAGGAAAGCTGAAATCAAGTGAGGTCATGAGGTGTACTACTTGACTCCTTGGTGGCTGGTCACTCGTGAAAAAATGTGTAGAGACATTCACAAAAAAATAACAGACAATGAACCCTGCATTTTTCTGTCTGCAATGGGTTAAAATTGTATTTCTGGTTCATGAATCTTTAGAAACCTGAAACCCTTGGCCTTTCTTATATGAAGGTAGATGAAGAAGCCCTTGAATATAGAAACTTAGAGGTGCATGCATATAAAAAAAAATATATATATATATATAGTTAGATACAGAAGTACACATGTATAAAGAAATAAATATGTATAGTTAGATATAAATATATATAGTTATAGACAGAGATATGTACATGGAGATAAACACAACTTATAAAGCCAAAATATTAGCTAAGCTACAAGTAATGCCTCTGTAGGCATCATCATGATCAGCCATAGCTTCCCATTACCCAAAGCTGTCTGCGTGCTAAAGACCAGTTAGGTCCTGGGTAACCTCCTAAGGCCAGATTACAGGTTGTTGATCTTGGGAAATTACCCATGAAACTTGAAGATTTCTCTCTTCTTCTCCTTAGATAGTTTGGACCAGTGACACCCAAAGGATTTGTTGTTAATTCTCATGTCCTTTTGTGGGGTATCTTTCAATCAAAGTGTTTCTTATTAGGAACAACTGTTAGCAGCCTCAAAGACTAATATATTTGAAACTCGATACACAAATCATAAGATATAAGCTTCCTCCTATTTGTAGGGCATATTTGTTTACACAAAATTGCTTCTATTTCTTATCTTTTGATATAGAAGGTATTCTGTTATAGATAAAGGAGATGTGATTTTTTTTTGTGTTTGTAATGTATCTTTTGTAACATTTATTTGCAATAGTCTAAAAACTAAGGCTTTTCACAAACCACAAACAAACAGTAACACATGAAAAGATGAAATGAAATATACCCAGAGCAAAAAGACGAAAGGGGAAATGTGTGGAAAGGTATGAATGAGAACGAATATCTTCACAATACAAGAGATGTATTTCTGACGAAGATATAATCGAAACCGGTTAAATACATCTCTTGTATTGTGAAGATATTCGTTCTCATTCATACCATTCCACATTTGTCAACATGAATACGGTTCAAAGGGGAAAAGATTGTATGTAACCTTTAGACTTTTGCACTTGAAGGGGAGTTGAGATCTACTTGAAGATTATTTTCTTGCAATGGCTTTGTTTCATTTCTCTTCATGTAGATATTGTTTTACATAGAGAGCTTTACTACAAATTTTCTTTTTATGTATTCAAGTAACTGTTCAGTTAGTTTTGGCTGTGATCTAAATAGTCTCAGAGTTTTTAATCTGCAGTCTCTAGTGAATCCATGTGCCCTTGTTCTTTAAATTGGAATTGAATTACAGGCCTAGTGGATCTGTCTGTGGAGAGCATTGACAAAGGTTTGGAAAGTGACTGTTTGGGGTTTTTTGTTTTTGTTTTTTGTTATGGACAGTTACTAACACATGAGGATTTTCTTTTACTCGTAACAGTGATGTCTCCTGAAAAGAAATTGTTTACATTTTCTTTCTTCCAGACAATGCTTTTATCTGTATGTTTATTCTGTTTTGTGTTTTTGTGTATGGGTGTATGTGGGTGGGTGAGAGTGTGTGGTTGTGTGTGGATGGGTGGATGGGAGGGTGTGTTTGTGGGTGTGCATGTGCATATGTGTGTGAGAACGTGTGTGTTTATGTGAAAGAGAGAGGGAGAAGGGGAGGGAGGGGAAATTGAGATAGAGAGGGAAGGAGAGGGAGGATAGAGGAAAGAGAGAGTGAGGAGGAGAGAGAGGATAGAGAGAAAGAGGGGAAAAGGGAGGATAGAGAGAGGGGAGGGGAGGGAGGAGAGACAAAGGGGGGAGGGGAAAGAGAGAGAAAGAGGGGAGGAGAGGGAGAGATGGGGGAGAGGAGAAAGAGAGGGGGGAAGGGGGGAGAGTGAGAGGAGGGGGTATAGGGAAGGGAGAGAGAGGGGGGAGGGAGGAGTGCACATATTTTTTTGTGCGTATAGAAGTATGTGATTACATTTGTGCATTTGTCTGTGTTGTGAATGTCTGCTCAGTCAGACAGCTTGACCAAATGTGAAGTGCTGGTGTGTAATGTTTCCTTTTTTATTAAGAGTTTAATCTCATGAATGTTTTTTCTCACAAAGATGAAGGAACTGCATGAGTGTTAGTTTTCTTATAAGTTTTATTCACTGTTAGTATTTCGTGTTTTAACTAATTTTAACCACATTTGATGAAACGTTTTTGGAAAGAATTGCCTCACGTATTTTTAATTGCTTTCCATTTTTCTTTTTTTCAACTTGTGAACCATGATTGTAAATCATGGTTTATGTTAAGTAGTGAGGAGAATGAATTAGCATTTTGTTTATTATAAATATTCCAGTGACATGAAAAGAAAAATGTGTATCTATGTTAGTGCATGTCATGGATATGGTTTTAACCAAGTAGGTATTTTATGCTGATAATGTTTTTCAGGATTTTTCTTTTTTTCTTTCTTTTTTCTTTGTGACTTTTGTTAGATAATGAACTAGGATTAAGCATTAGACTCAATATTGCTGAAGTGACTCAAACAGCCTGGTGTTTAATGATAATAATGGCAAAGGTGTTAGTTTTTCAGATGAAAGTGACCATCTTTGTTGTCAGATTGTGATTTATTATTAGAAAAATTTAGTTTGTTTTGATATGGTTCTTTTTGTTTACCTGATTATCTTTTATTAAAGCTATTTAGTTATGTATATCTTTTTGTTCTAAATGCAGTAAAATGATCAGTTTTTATGTAATCAATAAATTTAGCATTACTTTAATCAGTAATGGAATATCAGGTGTCTCATGGAAGCTCCTTACATTGCAGGTTGGTCCAGCCGCAGTATGTGGCAAGACACACTGAACTCTGCTCAGGTACGTAAACTGCGAGAACTTCAGGATGACTTGGTGAGCTGCATGAACTCACCCTTACAGCCCCCTCCTGCCCCTGCTCCTGGATTCTCATTTGACACCCCTCAGCCCCCCCTAATGGACACATACCCCCCTGAAGCAGACTTGCATGAGTCTGCTTACCCGGGTGTAGATGCACCCTTTGTGCCAGTCCTGCCTGAGAGTGAGGAAAACCTGCTGATTGTGGAGTCTTTCGTAGAGTCCTTGGTGACCCCCCTAGAGGATGCCGGGGTGGTGCTCAGTGCCACCAGGAGGAAGGCTGACATGGCAGCCCTCAACCAGGGGCCTGCAGAGGGCTTCGGGGTGGCCACTGACCCCACCTTTGCAACCCCAGACCTTATGCGGGAGGAGGACTTCGAGGCCAGCCTATCCAGAAGTGTGGCAGAGGACAGGAACATATTCAAGGAGGATAAGGAAATTATTGGAAGTGTGCAGGATGAAGATGCAGAGGCTGACGAGGTCAAAGATGCATGCAGCCAAGAGAGCTGTGATCCCTTGATCCGAGAGGAGGGTGTACAGGGAACAACCGAGAGTCCTGTCCTTCCTCCTCTGGACCAGTCTGGGCAAGATGACATTGTTGAAGACGCGTGTGATGAGGATTTGGCTGCTGCAGTAGAGATAGAAAACCTGCAGGTGTGACTAACAATTAATGTTTTTTTAAGTATCTTGGTTTGTTGTGTGTTATTAATGAATCTGATATAAGTATTTTATTTTTGTACGTAACAGAAAAGGAATCAAGGTGAGGATTTATTCTTGTTCTTTTTTTAAAAACATCAGTGTTTAATGCTGAGTTACTGACTGGTGATAAGGCAAGATTATAAGGAAATTTCTCATCCTCCATTCTCACATGCTGTCAGTTGCTACGTAATTTACAATATATACTTAAAAAGAAGTTCCCTTAAACAAAGGGCACCATTCCAGGTGATGGGGGTCAAGGGGGTATAACTGAGTTAGTTGTCTTAACATCTTGTTGTACCGTGTCAAGCAACTACCTGGTCTCGGATTATCATAGAATAACAGATCACACATATTATACATGTGACAAGACTCTGTCTGCTTTTGACCTCTCGTGGACTCTAAATGCGCGTGGGTCTTGATTACCAGTGTGCTTATGTTGTCTGACCATGACCCATGCTAGGGGGAGCTGATGTAACAGTGGGAAGCTTGTCTTTGTTTATTATCAGAATGCAAGCGGACAACTTGGCTTGGTCTTAAACGTGTAACTTGGCATTTGGACTTGTATGCAGTTTGCTATACATCCCATATCAATGCCCACTGCTCTCTACCATGACTGCTTTTAGATATCCATTCATAGATGTCCAAAGAATGTTTTATACTATGGTCTATAGAAAAAAGTAACAATGGTATATTATTGATTATGATATGATTTATGATAAGGATCAAAATAAGAGGGATAACAAACATTCTCTGGAATGGCGCCCTTAAAACTGGTTTGACAGTTTTGTACTTCAGGTGTTTATGTAAATCTCACCCCCAGCACCAAAGCCAGCTGCAGTCATGATTAATTTAGGGCAAATGTACATATGAGACAGAATGAATAGAGAAACAATTTAGAAGAGAGTTTTAGTTTGGGAAGATCAGTTTATTACTTTAAAAAATCAGAAAAAAAAAATCATTTAGCATACTTGAGGAATAACCAGAGTTAGCTCTTGAGTTCCCTTTTTCTTCTTATTGTAAATCCACTCAGTATGATATCATCAACCTATGACTACACATTATCTGGAAGTGATTCAAGTGTGGATCTGTTCAGGCTCATTCAATATATATCATATGTCATTACTAATTATTCATGATTTACCACCCTCCTCAACCAGCTCATTGAGAAGATGAACCAGGAGAATGGGAATCTTGAGTTGGAAGTCTCACGACTTCAGCAAGAAAATGTCACACCATTCAAGAGTGAGGATTGTTATTACTGTTTTTTAAGATTAACTTAGTGTTCTATGTATACTCAGTGTGATGTTTTATTTTTATTTGTTAGTGGCATTATTGGTGCCATTGGTTTCCATGTAATGTTTGGATTATTGCTTTGACAACATGACTTGCAAAGTAAATGGTTAAATAACCACCTCAAGACATTTTTCAACCTCACCCAGTCACAGGCAAGGATGGGAAACATGCAAGAGACCTACGGGAGCGCATAAATCGGCTCATAGTAGAGAATGAGGAGCTGCGCATGGCCATAGGGAAGCTGCAGTTCTCTAGCCTTCCCGATGGGGACACAGGTGCCTTCAACACTGCCCTTGACAAGAACTACAACCTTCGCGTTGCAGTTGGAAAGCTCACGTAGGTCTTCTCAAAATTCCCATCAAACCAATTTCCTTGGATCTTACAAGGCATGGCCCCCATGGTGGAAATCAAGTTCAAGGCAGTTTTCATATCTAAATTTATTCTAAATATTTAAAATGCTGTAGGATCCACTGGAAGGAAAATATACTATGGAATCAGTGGAAAACCTCGAATGGATAGCCAATCATTCATAAGAGGATTTTTCCTTGCATGCATGAGTATGAAACTGCCTTGAACTTGATTTCCACCATGGGGCCCATGCCTTGTAGATCCCAAGGAAATTGGTTTGATGGGAATTTTGAGAAGACCTACGTGAGCTTTCCAACTGCAACGCGAAGGTTGTAGTTCTTGTCAAGGGCAGTGTTGAAGGCACCTGTGTCCCCATCGGGAAGGCTAGAGAACTGCAGCTTCCCTATGGCCATGCGCAGCTCCTCATTCTCTACTATGAGCCGATTTATGCGCTCCCGTAGGTCTCTTGCATGTTTCCCATCCTTGCCTGTGACTGGGTGAGGTTGAAAAATGTCTTGAGGTGGTTATTTAACCATTTACTTTGCAAGTCATGTTGTCAAAGCAATAATCCAAACATTACATGGAAACCAATGGCACCAATAATGCCACTAACAAATAAAAATAAAACATCACACTGAGTATACATAGAACACTAAGTTAATCTTAAAAAACAGTAATAACAATCCTCACTCTTGAATGGTGTGACATTTTCTTGCTGAAGTCGTGAGACTTCCAAAGATTCCCATTCTCCTGATTCATCTTCTCAATGAGCTGGTTGAGGAGGGTGGTAAATCATAATTTAGTAATGACATATGATATATATTGAATGAGCCTGAACAGATCCACACTTGAATCACTTCCAGATAATGTGTAGTCATAGGTTGATGATATCATACTGAGTGGATTTACAATAAGAAGAAAAAGGGGACTCAAGAGCTATCTCTGGTTATTCCTCAAGTATGCTAAAATATTTTTTTTTTCTGATTTTTTAAAGTAATAAACTGATCTTCCCAAACTAAAACTCTCTTCTAAATTGTTTCTCTATTCATTCTGTCTCATATGTACATTTGCCCTAAATTAATCATGACTGCAGCTGGCTTTGGTGCTGGGGGTGAGATTTACATAAACACCTGAAGTACAAAACTGTCAAACCAGTTTTAAGGGCGCCATTCCAGAGAATGTTTGTTATCCCTCTTATTTTGATCCTTATCATAAATCATATCATAATCAATAATATACCATTGTTACTTTTTTCTATAGACCATAGTATAAAACATTCTTTGGACATCTATGAATGGATATCTAAAAGCAGTCATGGTAGAGAGCAGTGGGCATTGATATGGGATGTATAGCAAACTGCATACAAGTCCAAATGCCAAGTTACACGTTTAAGACCAAGCCAAGTTGTCCGCTTGCATTCTGATAATAAACAAAGACAAGCTTCCCACTGTTACATCAGCTCCCCCTAGCATGGGTCATGGTCAGACAACATAAGCACACTGGTAATCAAGACCCACGCGCATTTAGAGTCCACGAGAGGTCAAAAGCAGACAGAGTCTTGTCACATGTATAATATGTGTGATCTGTTATTCTATGATAATCCGAGACCAGGTAGTTGCTTGACACGGTACAACAAGATGTTAAGACAACTAACTCAGTTATACCCCCTTGACCCCCATCACCTGGAATGGTGCCCTTTGTTTAAGGGAACTTCTTTTTAAGTATATATTGTAAATTACGTAGCAACTGACAGCATGTGAGAATGGAGGATGAGAAATTTCCTTATAATCTTGCCTTATCACCAGTCAGTAACTCAGCATTAAACACTGATGTTTTTAAAAAAAAGAACAAGAATAAATCCTCACCTTGATTCCTTTTCTGTTACGTACAAAAATAAAATACTTATATCAGATTCATTAATAACACACAACAAACCAAGATACTTAAAAAAACATTAATTGTTAGTCACACCTGCAGGTTTTCTATCTCTACTGCAGCAGCCAAATCCTCATCACACGCGTCTTCAACAATGTCATCTTGCCCAGACTGGTCCAGAGGAGGAAGGACAGGACTCTCGGTTGTTCCCTGTACACCCTCCTCTCGGATCAAGGGATCACAGCTCTCTTGGCTGCATGCATCTTGACCTCGTCAGCCTCTGCATCTTCATCCTGCACACTTCCAATAATTTCCTTATCCTCCTTGAATATGTTCCTGTCCTCTGCCACACTTCTGGATAGGCTGGCCTCGAAGTCCTCCTCCCGCATAAGGTCTGGGTTGCAAAGGTGGGGTCAGTGGCCACCCGAAGCCCTCTGCAGGCCCCTGGTTGAGGGCTGCCATGTCAGCCTTCCTCCTGGTGGCACTGAGCACCACCCCGGCATCCTCTAGGGGGTCACCAAGGACTCTACGAAAGACTCCACAATCAGCAGGTTTTCCTCACTCTCAGGCAGGGGCAGGGGTGCATCTACACCCGGGTAAGCAGACTCATGCAAGTCTGCTTCAGGGGGTATGTGTCCATTTAGGGGGGCTGAGGGGTGTCAAATGAGAATCCAGGAGCAGGGGCAGGAGGGGCTGTAAGGGTGAGTTCATGCAGCTCACCAAGTCATCCTGAAGTTCTCGCAGTTTACGTACCTGAGCAGAGTTCAGTGTGTCTTGCCACATACTGCGGCTGGACCAACCTGCAATGTAAGGAGCTTCCATGAGACACCTGATATTCCATTACTGATTAAAGTAATGCTAAATTTATTGATTACATAAAACTGATCATTTTACTGCATTTAGAACAAAAAGATATACATAACTAAATAGCTTTAATAAAAGATAATCAGGTAAACAAAAAGAACCATATCAAAACAAACTAAATTTTTCTAATAATAAATCACAATCTGACAACAAAGATGGTCACTTTCATCTGAAAAACTAACACCTTTGCCATTATTATCATTAAACACCAGGCTGTTTGAGTCACTTCAGCAATATTGAGTCTAATGCTTAATCCTAGTTCATTATCTAACAAAAGTCACAAAGAAAAAAAGAAAGAAAAAAAGAAAAATCCTGAAAAACATTATCAGCATAAAATACCTACTTGGTTAAAACCATATCCATGACATGCACTAACATAGATACACATTTTTCTTTTCATGTCACTGGAATATTTATAATAAACAAAATGCTAATTCATTCTCCTCACTACTTAACATAAACCATGATTTACAATCATGGTTCACAAGTTGAAAAAAAGAAAAATGGAAAGCAATTAAAAATACGTGAGGCAATTCTTTCCAAAAACGTTTCATCAAATGTGGTTTAAAATTAGTTAAAACACGAAATACTAACAGTGAATAAAACTTATAAGAAAACTAACACTCATGCAGTTCCTTCATCTTTGTGAGAAAAAACATTCATGAGATTAAACTCTTAATAAAAAAGGAAACATTACACACCAGCACTTCACATTCGGTCAAGCTGTCTGACTGAGCAGACATTCACAACACAGACAAATGCACAAATGTAATCACATACTTCTATACGCACAAAAAAATGTGCACTCCTCCCTCCCCCCTCTCTTCCCTTCCCTATACCCCTCCTCTCACTCTCCCCTTCCCCCTCTCTTTCTCCTCTCCCCCATCTTCCCTCTCCTCCCCTTCTTTCTCTCTCTTTCCCTCCCCCCTTTGTCTCTCCTCCCTCCCCTCCCCCTCTCTCTCTATCCTCCCTTTTCCCCTCTTCTCTCTATCTCTCTCTCCTCCTCACTCTCTCTTTCCTCTATCCTCCTCTCCTTCCCTCTCTATCTCAATTTCCCCTCCCTCCCTTCTCCCTCTCTCTTTCACATAAACACACACGTTCTCACACACATATGCACATGCACACCCACAAACACACCCTCCCATCCACCCATCCACACACAACCACACACTCTCACCCACCCACATACACCCATACACAAAAACACAAAACAGAATAAACATACAGATAAAAGCATTGTCTGGAAGAAAGAAAATGTAAACAATACACAAAACAATTTCTTTTCAGGAGACATCACTGTTACGAGTAAAAGAAAATCCTCATGTGTTAGTAACTGTCCATAACAAAAAACAAAAACAAAAAACCCCAAACAGTCACTTTCCAAACCTTTGTCAATGCTCTCCACAGACAGATCCACTAGGCCTGTAATTCAATTCCAATTTAAAGAACAAGGGCACATGGATTCACTAGAGACTGCAGATTAAAAACTCTGAGACTATTTAGATCACAGCCAAAACTAACTGAACAGTTACTTGAATACATAAAAAGAAAATTTGTAGTAAAGCTCTCTATGTAAAACAATATCTACATGAAGAGAAATGAAACAAAGCCATTGCAAGAAAATAATCTTCAAGTAGATCTCAACTCCCCTTCAAGTGCAAAAGTCTAAAGGTTACATACAATCTTTTCCCCTTTGAACCGTATTCATGTTGACAAATGTGGAATGGTATGAATGAGAACGAATATCTTCACAATACAAGAGATGTATTTAACCGGTTTCGATTATATCTTCGTCAGAAATACATCTCTTGTATTGTGAAGATATTCGTTCTCATTCATACCTTTCCACACATTTCCCCTTTCGTCTTTTTGCTCTGGGTATATTTCATTTCATCTTTCATGTGTTTACTGTTTGTTTGTGGTTTGTGAAAAGCCTTAGTTTTTAGACTATTGCAAATAAATGTTACAAAAGATACATTACAAACACAAAAAAAATCACATCTCCTTTATCTATAACAGAATACCTTCTATATCAAAAGATAAGAAATAGAAGCAATTTTGTGTAAACAAATATGCCCTACAAATAGGAGGAAGCTTATATCTTATGATTTGTGTATCGAGTTTCAAATATATTAGTCTTTGAGGCTGCTAACAGTTGTTCCTAATAAGAAACACTTTGATTGAAAGATACCCCACAAAAGGACATGAGAATTAACAACAAATCCTTTGGGTGTCACTGGTCCAAACTATCTAAGGAGAAGAAGAGAGAAATCTTCAAGTTTCATGGGTAATTTCCCAAGATCAACAACCTGTAATCTGGCCTTAGGAGGTTACCCAGGACCTAACTGGTCTTTAGCACGCAGACAGCTTTGGGTAATGGGAAGCTATGGCTGATCATGATGATGCCTACAGAGGCATTACTTGTAGCTTAGCTAATATTTTGGCTTTATAAGTTGTGTTTATCTCCATGTACATATCTCTGTCTATAACTATATATATTTATATCTAACTATACATATTTATTTCTTTATACATGTGTACTTCTGTATCTAACTATATATATATTTATTTTTTTTATATGCATGCACCTCTAAGTTTCTATATTCAAGGGCTTCTTCATCTACCTTCATATAAGAAAGGCCAAGTTTCAGGTTTCTAAAGATTCATGAACCAGAAATACAATTTTAACCCATTGCAGACAGAAAAATGCAGGGTTCATTGTGTTTATTTTTTGTGAATGTCTCTACACATTTTTTCACGAGTGACCAGCCACCAAGGAGTCAAGTAGTACACCTCATGACCTCACTTGATTTTAGCTTTCCTTGAGTTTTTAGGAAAAATCATTTTCAATAATGCTATCATTATCAATGTTGTTATTATCAGTATACGCATTACAACATTACTAATAGAAATATAAAATAAAATCAAATATTTCATAAAAATCAAAGAAATGGGTAACACGTGAGATAGGTTCTACTAATAATTGGCTCATTGGTGACTAAGTACTTGTGAAGCCATCTTTGTGTAAAAACAATTACTATATTGAACTCACAGTGGGCATGGCATGTAGGCCATCAGATTAAAATAAGAAAGAAAGAAAGAAACAATTTCAACAATAAAGAACAGATTTTGTGATTTCATGTGTTGACATGAACAATCAAATAAACATACTCCATGTTAAAATGACACCCATAAAATGATATACAAAAACGTATGTAAAGCCAAGTAAGTTTTCTGGAATTTTTTGAAAATGTCACTTAAAGTAATGTCTGTGTAGTCTCCACTCCAATATAATACTGTCTTATGTTTAAGTGTCAAAATCACAAACCCTGTTATAATGACTAAATACAAAGCATTGTGATGTAATGGACATCATATCAGCATTATACCTTTTGTTCATGATAAGAACCCATGTTTCTAATGGATGCATAATCAACAGGCGTTATCTCTACCCTTGGCAGTACATAATAAATCCTAGAATTCTCACCAAGGAAATGTCCTAAGCCAAGCCCAAGTACACAGGCCAGTGTGAGTGCAACCACGATGTTCAGCCGAGAGTTGAGGTCTCTGTCTGGGGTATGGCGGTACTGGGTGTCAGGTCTGTGGGAGAGAAGAGCGTATTTTTTAAATAGTATGCTTTTCTGGAGTATACCAAACCTCCTTTAATCCTTGCTTTCAATAAAATTGCAATAAGGCTTGTATTGCTTATTTGAGTTTTCAATAGAAACAATGCATCAAGAATGCCAGCTAGAAATCTATGGTCCAGAAATATCTAATATATCATACTGTTCTGACAATCACATTCAAACCTTAGGTAGACTAAGTGTTGCACACCTAAAGAAAAGATAGAGAAATAAGAGTCTTATCATCTTATACACATACACTTACAAACCAAGACATAGGCAAACACCAATAGACACACAGACACAGACACACAGTCAGTCAGTCAGTCAGTCAGACAGACAAGACTGAGACACATACACAAAGAAAAAATATATACATATATATCTTTACTTTATTGCTGGAAGATCATCTGGGAGTGAAGGCGAGGAGGCCAGAGAGAGGTCTGTTTCTTCATCAGCAATTTTCTCCTTCTCCTCATCCAGCACGGAAATATCTGTGCTGGCAAGGCTCTCTACATCTGCTTCACCTGAAAGCAAGCTATGAGTCAGAACAGATCTTTCAAATGTTATGTTATTAACCTCATGCTGGCTATATTAACTGCTATTTACAAGTGATGTTGCAAGTCATATTTGTGGTAATAACAGCCTTATTAGTAATTCAACTGCATTTATGATTGAAGTGCACATTAGTAAGATCCCTACATCAGTGAAGAAAAAGCATTGTACTTGAAAGCTCATTTATTTTACAAGCAAAAATCAATCATTTTAGTCATCAAATATAAATCTAAAATATTAAAATATGGAGTTGATAAAAAAAAATATATATATAGTATCATATGTTCACATTCGTACAATATTAGCATCAGTAAAATTAAGATCTACAAAAATCAATAACTTAATAAAAATAATAACTGCAGCATGCCAAAGTTATAACAAAATATTAAAGGGAGCAAATAAGATATGTCAACCTGGGCTGGATACCAAGAATAAACCCTTCTTCCGAAACCTAACTTCACAAAGGGAGTGAACAATCTATTCTGCATGGATTATTCATCTGAAGAAAAGAACAATCTATGTGAACATTTATAAATTACATGAATCTAAATCAATTCAAATAATCTGTTCTGAGCATGAGGCAGCTGAATCCGAAGGAATCCAAACATTATTTCAAGATATATGGGAGGAATATATGGGCCACCTAGTTTAAAAATAACCTTCACATCATAAGATGTAAGTTACAGTGACATGCTGTTCATCATATAATGTACGTCACAGTTTACGGGTTACGGAAATTCAATGGCTGACTAACTTTAGTTCAGAGAGGACTGTCTCTCAACAGGGTATTGCTACCTTGGGCAAGGAACTAAGAGATGGGTCTTCTATTATTTATGAAACGCAAGTTAAGACTGCACCAGTTTCTGATCTCTGTATGGGAAACTTGAGTCCTGTTGCTACTGCTAATGATGCTCACATTACTACTGCTGTTACAACTACTACTGCTACTCCTATCAATAATAACAGCAATTATAATGATGATTATAATGATGATAACTAATATTACTATTACTGCTACTACTAATGATATTGATAGTTTGAGTTATAACAATAAAAATGATAGTAATCTTTAAATTAACTATAATAAACAAGAGTAAAAAAAGAAGTAAATAATGAACTAAAAACTCAAAAGAAGGAACTGCACCTGGGATGACACCTTCCCAGACGGCTCTACTGGCCACCATGGTG